AAAATCAGGGGATCCCCAATAGTCAGCATGAGTGTTTGTATACAATTTCAAAGCAATCTGTCTGGACTAAAGTGGCGGACAGACTGTTCAACAAACATCATCACGCCTCGCGCTACAAGCATGGCTACAAATGTCAGAAATGTTGCCCTGGATCATAAAACCTAACACATAAGAAATATAACAGAGAATATCATGTACATGTCTTTGTCTATTCACCGTAACATCCAAACATCTCAAAAATGTCCAGACTCCAGTAGCATGCTAACGTTAACATCAGGCTGACAGGGTCATGTAAATAGTGACCTCTTTATGTCTGCTAACACAAAACACAAAGCCCCTCAACAGCGTCCAGACTCAGCGGCTCATAGTGCAGAGGCATTTTAAGTCTTTCACTCTCATGAATCATACATGTAAATACAACCATAACGTCAGCAATTTAATTTGCTCCTTTAACCATTAAAAGCTGTTTTCTGTAGATTACGTGGGTCACACTGAACCAAGAGCATTCCAGTGATAACTATTCAGCTATTAAAGTTATTTTACGTCATGGTTTCTTTGGTTGTGCTATCAGGAAGTCAGTCCGTTGTTATGTAACTCAAAGCATTCCTCTATACATACATCAGCATTTGAGACAGTGTAGGCATCCACCAACAGATAATGTGTCCTTTTAACCCTCATACGTTAGATGATCTTTCCCCAAACTGCTCTTTGTTTTAGGGACGATTTAAAAACAACTAAAGACGTAGGCGGACTTGGATGAGAGGCTCATCTGCGTATCAGATCAGGGGCCGAAATGCCCCAGACTGGAGCATGACTTGCTACATTAATAGAAACAACTGACATTCAGATAAACAGTATGCACGTGTTCCTTTGTCATGATTCAGATTATATTCCTTCAAATGATTCCTAATAATGAGATTAAAATCTACTTCAAAAACCACGAAGTGCCAATTTAATGAATATTTTAATGATTTCTTTATCTGACTTTATCTTACAGAGAAAAAATAACACAAGCACCTCAACAGTTGTTTCATTTCTGTTCATTAAAAAACAAAACACCTGCAGCAAAACTGTCAGTTGTACCTCATTATAATGAGGCTTTTTGTGTCAATAGTGGTTTAATCTGAAACTAAACACTGTGAATTAACAAGCACATTTTGTACATACTGTAAAACTCTCTGTCTGCTGTCCAGGCCAATATATCGTCAGACTGCGGCTGGAACATTTTGCAGATATGCTCCGGTCCAGCACCAAAAATACATCCAGTAATTTCAAGAAAAGTTACAAGCGATAAAAGACACACACACAGACCTCTTTACCCATTTTTGGTTTTCTATTCCGAGGCACAATGAAAGCAGCTATTTATATTTTGCACATGTAATCTCTACTTTTGTAAGCCAGCGCAACAATGCCTCAACCCCGACTGCGGTGCAAACACACACTTTTATTCATCTCTACAGCTCAGGCAGCTGTGGAAATACAGAAACACCCATTTTAACTGGAGATGTTTTGGCTTAAATTCAAAAGATAAACAAGAATATAAATATCACAGATGATTGTGGGTTCACAGACTACATTTGGATTAAATTACTCTGAGTTTTCTGTGTGGATCACTGATATAAACTGTTGAAACACACTTTGAACATATAATTTAAAGACCAATCGCTGATATTAAACTGTTGAACACTGTGTTATTTCAAGCGTGTGGCATCTAAGAAAAAACACTGGATAAACAAATTAGATTTCAAACAGTACTTTATGTTTTTGCTGATATATTGTATTATCATCAAACTCTTTCTCAGGCCCAGTCTTGATTTAATCATATCTTCACCTACTGTATCAATTTTTTAAACATAGGAAATATATCCAGTCCACCAGTACAAAGCATGTTTGTTGTTTAATCAGATATAACAATAAAACTTACTTACAGTATGTTTCACTGCTTCACTGCTAAGTACAGCGATGTCGTCGCTTCAGAGTCAAAGATGTATCTGTTGATCTGACAGCAGTGTAAGGTGCCGTGAACAAGTGGGGGGTAGAGACAGTGACACACACACACACACACACACACACACAAAGGCAAATGCACACAAAGGCAAATGCACGCACAAGACTCTGAATCCAGCTTGTCACCTATCAAGTTCTTCTTCTGAGCTCTTAAAATCTGACTGACCTATTCCACACTATCTAAACATACAAGCCTGGTTAACTCAGCATTAAAGGAATAGTTTGACATTTTAGAACTTATATTTATTCGCTTTCTTGCTGAGGGTTCCATGATAAGATTACGTAATACCACTCTCAATATGAAAGTGGTTTAAATATTGTCTTATATTGCTATTTGTGTATGTACCACAGTTCACCTATGACGAGCGTGTATGCGTGCACACACACAGTTAATTATGGCTCCTTTCAAAAGTTTTGTAACCACTGTCCCTACAGTAGCACGTTCATATAACCTTCTATAACTGTTAAGTGGAAGGATGTGTTGCTGCCTTTTCCTCTTTACTAGTTAACAGCTAGCTATAGACTTGAAAAAAAATAATTTAATTTACTGTGCCGCTCAAAGGCTACCACTGGCAGCTATCGGCCATTTCTAAGGTGGGATGTTTTCTTGCATGTTACTCAATGCACGAGTTTTCATGAGTCAGTCAACACACCTTAAATGTCAGTATGACAACTCTGACCACTCCATTTGTTTTTATTGACGCTCTCACATGACATACACTTAAGTGACGATTAGATCTTCAATCACTAAAAAAAAAAAAAGTTTATCCTCCTGGGACCCTGTGTCCATATATGAGGACATTGCGTTTTGGGTTTACTGGACCTTAGGCCTGTTGTCCTCGTTTGTGGACACTTTTTTGTGCCATCTAGTGGTGGTAAGACCACAATGCACCAATCTATATAAAAACAAGATGGCAGCCATTTCTGCCAAGTCAGTCTGCAGCTGACCCTGATCACATTTTATGGTTCAAACTTGTTTATTTATGATTAATATGTTTGTAGTTTGATATGGCAACAGATTTCACCAATTTTAGCAAAGGTAACAACCTAAGATGCTGTTACTTGGAGTACTCGTTTGAAGACATCAGCAATTAATCATCAGTTCGTTGAAGGACACTGGGACTTTATTATCGTCATGTTTAAGGATATAGGGACTTTATTATCTTTGACAATGTTTAGTTTTTTATACTTATCAGTTCCTACGGATCCAAAATCACTAGGAGAAATTAAAAATATGAACCAAACAAAAGTTTGGGGCTCAGGAGGTTAAGAATTTCAACTAAATTATGCGAACTGCAAATATTTTATACCCTCACTTAGAGAAAAAGAAATTAGCGGAGCATTGCTGACTCTCTGCCAGAAAGAGAATAAGTGCAGGCTTTTTCTTACAATGTCAAACTATTAATCTAAATATGAAGCTGCAGCTAGAAGTTAGTTAGCTTAGCTTAGCATACAGAGTGGAAGCAGGGGGAAACAGCAAGCCTAGCTCTGTCTTAAGTTGACAAAATACACCCAAAAGCACAAAATAAGCATGTATTTTTACTCTTAAACCTAGTTTTGTACAAATTTGCTCAACAAATTTGCTATATTTTTTTTTTATTAGTAAGTATAGTATATTTTTTACTACAGAATAACTACGATGATTTATGATATGGACACACACACTGCACTCCAAACACCTGTGCACATAACCACAGAATAAACAGCAGAGATACTGAGAGTAACCCCCCAAACCACACACTCTCAAACCCCCACCTCACCGGCTGCAGCTGCTTCCTTGGAGCCGCAGATCAGGCAGCCAATCAGCAGGACCCCTCTGAATCAAGCCAGACAACAGCAGGTAAAACAAAACCGGACAGGAAGACGTTTGCCTTCAAAATAAGAGCACCAGTTTCTATTTCACTGGAGGCCTTTCTTTCAAAGGCTCAGAATGGGTCGACTAAGTCAGCTGATGCCTCTTTAAAACAGCATCCCTGCCAAGTTAAAGAAAAGTTATGACTTTAAAATAACTCTGGGAAACAATATCTATTATCTGACAAAAAAAATATTGAACGTTCTTTTGGGTTGTATATATCTTTTACTTAAACTTTGAAGCATTATTCACAGCAGAGCATTAAGTTAAAAATCAGCATCCATAATGAGCCCCCAACTGATCACTCAACTTCAGTACACCCTGATAAATGTCTCTGACTTGGTAACATCATTTGGGTGATTTTTGATTCTATATAAAACAGAGTTCTGTTTTTATTTTATTGTTAAAGGGGAAAAAATGACAGTCAAAAGGACAAATCATGCAAAACCTCCTTAAAATGGCAGAAGATTTGCTTCTTTATTAAAAATATTGTGCAGAGTTGCAGTCATTCATACACCGTGGTCAGTACTGCAAATATAGGAGAAGACTGAAAATGGTAATCCATCTAATCTACAGTATTATTCTGTATCTTCCTTGACAGTGGTTGTATACATCATCTAATTGGGTTCAGACTCCGAAGTCTAGCATGGACAAAGAGACAATTAAAATGATTCAAATCAGTATGGTGCAGCTGTTGAAAAAAAAAATCAGTTTTTTAATTGATGATATGGATGCTATTAAAGTTATGGGGCTTTTACATACATGTCAAATTGTATTTATGTTATCTGCATTGGTGTGTTTTCCATAGTGATACACACATGGAGTTTTTTAGAGGTGTAAAAAGAAAAAATACATAAGTAAATAAATGTAGTCTTATAATTGCAGCTCTAATATGAAAAGTACACATAGTTGGGAAGCAGACACATTTTAAAAATCATGGTTGTTAGCTTCAGGATGAAACATCCTTGGAGGTCTTAATCAAGTCATATCACCAAATCTGACCTTAAACCCCAAACCCCTCTGCAGATTGGACTTTTATTTTGCAAGATATAACCGGAAGTTGGATCATCTAAGTGTGTGTGCCTCGACATCAAACTGTGGCTCTGTGGTTGTGGAAGTGGAAGAAGTTGAGTCTCCTCAGTCACCCGCCGGCGCCGCCTCCTCTCCGCTCCGCTGCGGAGGACAGAGGACAGACTCACAGCGGAAACTTCTGCACGGGGACACGGGGAAGGTAGGTCAGCCAGCCCGGACACTCTCTCTGCGTTTTCATGCACAACTGTGGAGGAAAACGGTCATGGCATGATGCTGGCAGGAGACTGCTCTCAACTCTGATCCGCTCATTTCTTCACAAATATTCCTGCAGACTCTGAATGTCGCTCTTGTTTAGTGTTTTAGTGTTTCTCATTGTGGCATCAGAGTCACGGTGTGCACCTCTGTGGACTTAATGCCGTCTCAGTGTGGTTGTGTGGTGTTCATCCTAAAAGCTATGTTTGGATCGGTTCTTCTTCTCAAGAGCTCTTAGTTATGGCTGGGATCCTCGTTGGCTGATGACAAGGCAGTCAAAGTGTGTATGTGTGTGTATGTGTGAGTGCACGCGCGCGCGCAGGCCGGTGAATGGATGATGTGGCCGACAGCAGACATCAGGTAGCCTACATAAGTGAAGGGTGGCCTTGTGTTGTTCACCGGCTGGGGGAGCAACTTGCAGCTTTTCACTGATGGAAAACAACTGCAGTAAATCTGCAACAACACTGTGAACTATAATATATAATCTTTGCTACATCATAAATCACAACTCCAACGTTTTAACGCTCACTTTTAGATTCCCTGATGTGACAGAGATGATGAAATGGATGTAGGACTTGTGTGCATGTGGATGCAAATCTGTGGCCCCTTCAATGAACAGCAGAAGTGAGTCATTTTATCAGCTGACTTTGCAGAAATCTGCAGGTAAAAGTCTGTCTGTTATGGCAGTTGCATTGTTGATCGTTGTGCAGCATCACTCTGTTTTAGTGTTAACATATCCTCTTATACCAGATGCCATAATATGTGTGATGTATATTGGATTTGCACCATCAACCAAACCACAAATACACACATCAGAGATGCAAATGTAACATTTCCTCTCCAGAGATCGATTCTGATCTCTCAACTCAGCGGACCTGCCACTACCAAGTACCGATACAATGCCATGTTTGGTCCAAACTTTAAAATCTGTACACCTCTGTCATATTTACATAAGGCAACATGAGGCCAGGCATGTCTTTGGCTGAGGTGGCAGCCCACCATAAGTTCATGGATGCTGATAATTAATAGTGGAAACACTGAATTTCATTATGACATTAACAAAGATCATCACATCATTGCTGCTACCTGTAATCAGTCAGCAAATGTGGCGATAGCGGATCCCCATTTTGGATTGTTTCATCCCTAATGCATGTCTTTTCCCCAACATGCACTCATTTACAGGCCTTCCTTTGTACCACACCAGTGCTATGTAAAACACTTTACTCCATTATCAGTTTGTCAGTAGAAAGAAACTAAATGACAGCCATTTTGACTTCATGTAAGATATATTTAAAGTAAAAAAACATGCCCAAAATCCATAGTTATCTTCACAAATGCAAAGATCCGCTGCTTTGTTATCTTATGTGACAGTAAACTGGGTGTATGTTTGGTGCTTTGGTCTGTTGACAGCCCCAAAGAAGATAAAAAATGTGCAGAAATGAACATGATAAAAGACAGAAAGAGAAAACCTTCTACTACCATCTGTGCTGTGTTCCCAGTGCTGCTGGCTGACTCACTTCGTGTCGAGTCAGCTCTTGCTCTCACTAAATATTGTTTCAGACTCGAGAGGCACATTTTCGGAGTTAGGGGAGCACATCCGAGGTTCTCCGGCCTGTTTATGTTCCCACTTTTCATCTGCACAATGTTTATTTGGGGAAATTGAGAAAGGAATGCCTGCCTCTTTCTCTCTCTGTCTTTGTACCAGACAGAGAGAATGAGAGTTTAGTCTGAGAAATATCCTCCAGTACTTTGTATTATTTCTATCACCTGTTCAGGGTTTCATGTGGGGATCTGTGAATCTAGACTTCTAGAGGGAGTAATTGCTGCTGAGGCAGACTGAAATGCTGCATCTGACTTGTGACATTCGTCTTATTCGGCTATTTGATCCCTCAGCCTCATGGTCTTATTAGAAAAGAGAAGCCGCACTGCTGGTTTAATGAAATAATAAACTGAACCTAAAGCTGATTCATGAGCTACTCCCTGATCAAAGTGGAAACAGTGTGTGTGTGTGTGTGTGTGTGTGTGTGTGAGTTGGGGGGAGTGCTAGACTTGAAGCTAAGCTGAGGGACACTTAGCATCTGTTCGCTCCACACAGACTTTACTTTGAGCCGGTCATATGGCTTTGATTAGTGTGCTAGTTTTCGGATAGCTCCACTCTCCCTGGCAACAGTTAAAGACAAGGACAGCATAGTTAGCTCTAGTCTTTAGAAGAAAAAAAAAACTCACTGTACATCCCTTACACCACATTAAAAGCACGAGTCACTGCTCACTAGATGACAAGATGAAAAAATGACGTGTCAAAACTGGGTCCACTGGCTTGATTACATTGCAAATTTGGCCCACCCTTAAATTCCCACCTAATTATCCTGAGCGGTCCAACTTTTCTCTCTCTTGTTAACAACGACCCCTTTCTTCTCCCCTCCTTCTTTTCTCTTTTGCAAATTGTGATTGCGTTGGAAATTGTGTGGCCTGTCTGCAGCTCGGACCACTTTCTCTCTTGGCCGTGACTGCGGCTATATGCTCGATATTCGTAGCTAATCCAAGCAAAACATGGAGGAGAGAGTCAGCGTATGTGCTCGCTTGGCCTGCTGACAAACATACGTTTTTTATTTCGCTCAAAAGTGATACAGCCCAGAGGGAAAGTTTTGCACAACAGACCATGGAAGATGTACGACACCATCACCTCTGCGAGACAGCTTTCTCTTAATTTAGCTGCATTTCTGTGAGGTTTATAATGGAGCAATAATTTACAGAGAAGGCAGTGCATGCATGTTGTTTGGAGATCTTTTGAAGGCTGTCCACAAATCTCTTTAAGCAGCTTTACTTAAAAAGCACCAAGGGACAGCACTGGGGGGTCCAGTCTCCCCCTCTTTCTCTTGTTTAAATAAACAAAAGGAGAGTTAGTGGTAATGAAAAGCACTTGATATCAACCTGCAAGTTTAATAACCCCACAATAAATTGAGAGCGGGAGCAGAAGAAGTAATGAAAATGGAGGGGAGTTTGGCTTGTGCAGGAAATGACTGGGAGAAAGCCTGAGGGAGGGGAAGAGAGAAAGACTTTCAGTTGTTCCACGTATGAGGGAAGCTGCAACAGTACAAAGACCCCTTAGTGTTTTTTAAGCAAGCTCTCTTTTTTACTGTACCTTCCCATTGCTGTTTGAAATGAAATAAGAGGCACATTAGGGCTCTTTTCAACTCATTCCTCCACACTCAGTTCAGGGTATTAACACTCAAGAATGGCTCTCCCAGCTGGCTCGAACAGCTTACACTCTGCTGTCTCTCTTTCATTCCCCTCGGGCTTTGCGCTCATTTTTTTTTTCCTCCTCTTTTCAGGAGGCAACTTGTTCCCCCTGCTCTCGTCACCAAAAGGTTTCCCATCTGCTTCCGATTACCTTTGGCTGCAGTTGGTTAGCCGCCAGCCATCTGGGCCAGTGTGGCGTCTCCGCTCGCTCTTCTTTCCCCAGACGGCACTGAGGGAGGGATGGAGGGGAGGGAAGGCTGGGACAAGAGTGAACTGGGTGGGCAGACTTTACTTGAGAATAGCAAGGGTTGGGTTTTTTAGCTGACACTGCAATCCATAGCCAGGAAACTCAAGTCAAAGAGAAGGGCACCCATGAAAATGTGACTCCTGATCCTGGCTCTGGTCTGTTTTTGTAATGGGTACTGTGGGTCTGAGGAAGTCATTTTCCATTGTTATTATAAAGCAGACTCGCTCTTATGTTGGTCTTTAAGTAAAAAATGGAATAGTGCTCAATTAAAAAGGAACTTGGGGTTTATGTATAGCACAGGGCAGTTAAATTAGTAGTGTGGAAAATGAACAAGAGACCCGAGATTTTAATCTGTGATGTCGGGCTGGCTTGCCTCCAAATGATCAATGAGTGCTGTCGTACAAACTTCACTTTCTATTCAACAGTTAAAAAAGGAAGGAACAATCTTCTCTCTGTTATTTCTGGCAACAGGAAACAGTAATTAACGTCTGCTGATGGAGAAAAACATTGAACTTCACTGGCATTGTGTAGTAATATGCAGATGACATGCAACTGTACACTGGGACAGAGCCAGACACTGATGTGTCCGGTTAATAATATTATTATGACTAACCCTAAAGTGCTGCTGTCCTATTTTGTTAAACAGAGACATTTAACTATTAGTTCATTGCTCGTATTTGCTGTTCTTGAGAAGGTGGTCCTTGCTTTTATCTCCTCCAGACTTCATTATTGTAATGCATTTTATTCTGGTCTCAGCAGGAAAAACTTCCAAAGATTTCAGTTAATTCAAAACATGGCGACCACATCACACGCTCCTCGCTGTGTGTTGACGTGTCTGTGTGTGGTTAAATTACATTTTGTGAGGAGTTAGTTGTACCCACCAGACAGGTTAAATTATATCCTAATAACAAACACTGGATCTTTGAAAGAAATTATTAGGAAGAAACATGCTGCCTCTGAACATGGGAGTGATGGGAAGAAAGTGAGTCAAAACAGCTGGTTAGTCCTGAAATTAAGAAAGCCCAACTAGTTGAAGTAGTTTTTTGTCCACCAGTGCACTGACAAGATGGTTTTGCAACTGTAAAATCTCTCGCTCGGCTCAATATGTATCTTGGTCGCATCTAAGGGATCATTAATAAGACTGTTGTGTATTTTTTGCATTTAGATTTATAAAAAACACATAGGCCAGGCTGCAGTCATCCAACGTGTCCTCATACATCCATGAATGACCTTACGCACTTAACAAAAAGTTACGTACTTAACTTTAAGTTATGGAGGTCAGGTTTAGGCAAGTAAACTTACTTTAGTAGGATTTAGGAAACGAAACACGGTGATGATGTACCTTAAAATTACTCAGAGTTCACTTTGTTCCATATGGTTCTTAACAGCGGTGAAAGTTCTGTGTTTTGTGACCCATCAACCACCCCAGCCTGCCTCCTTACAGTGACTACTTCCCTCTTTACTCCTGTCAGCGCAATGGTCATGTGATTGCAACCTTCCCAAATACATAGGTTATACAGGAATTAATGGCTCATGATTACGTGGGAGACATTTGAATTTTGATGCATTACTTTTTGTAGGTATACTTACGAACAGAGCATGAGAACAGCTTGAATCATCATAGCACTCTACCCTTTGTCTCAGATGTAAACAAGCTTCATATAGGCACTCATACCATCTGACTGTTAGCCAGGACGCCTGCCAATTAGTAAGCTGTACAGTCAGGCAGCCAGCCAGCAAGTCACTCAGCCATACCACCAACCACCACAGTCAGCCAGCGTAGCAGTGATGGCAACCTGCTGCTCCTCTCAAATTGGCTCATTTTACCCCCAGAGCCTCTGACATAATACCCACTTCAAGCCCTGTTTGGGCATTAAGCGCAGCTTTTTACAAGATCAATGGCTTCCTTTGTGTTTGAACTCTTTCCGGTGGGCAGGCAGCTTAAAGAGCGGGGCCTCAGGGGCCCCAGGTTGGGACCTGCTGTTGTCTCTGGTCATCAGAGTGAAAGACAGGGTGTTTGCCCTAAGCCAAAGCCAAGATTGATTAGCTGAAGGAACAATGCAGAGCTGGGCGGTCCTTAACTGGACGCTGAATATGAACTGGGTAGATTTGTCTTGTTAGACTGGGAACTGCATGGGTCAATGGGATCTCATGCTCTCTCCCTCTCCTTTAGCCTGTGTTTCACTATGTCTCCCTTGTTCCTCCCTATTTGAGCCTAAATCTGTCTCTCCCCTCCCTTTTCACTCCCTCCTCACTCCCTTTCCTGGCCTTCCTCTTCCTCACTGAACAATTTCTCTTCTTGCAGAGGGGAGTCTAAACCTGCTGCTGAGCCCCTTGGGAGATCCGTCCAGGTTTTTCTTCTACTCCTATGAGGACTCGTCCAGGATCCATCACCACTCGCTGATCAACACACTGTAGAGGCTGCTATGTCTGTCTGAACCCGCACATCTTCCTGCAGCCATGGCCCAACAGAGCGCTGAGCTGTCCCACTGCTAGGCGACGGGGCATCCGAGAGGGCAGAAGACATGTTGGGACAGAGGCCCGGGGACGACTGCACTGAATTCTGTTACTATAGCAACTACTGTAGTAACCATGGAAACGCTATGGAGGACTGGTCTGGTCTGCACTGTCATCGTCATCATGGTTGCCACAGAGGTCGAAGGAGGTCACCGAGATGAGTTCGCCCAGTCACAAGGTGAGAGGATGGAATTATATATGAACATACTGTATGTGTCCAGCAAATTAAATACCTGGCAAATGATAATAATGCAAAAATATAATAAAAATCTAACTGTAGTCATAAAGAAGTCATGTTAATTGATTTGATTGCCCACAATGGGGCTAATGCACCCAGAGACAACAAAGGAATAGGTGCCACAGTATAAGTGTCAGATGAATTTATATCACCAGACAGTATTATACCATAAGACGCCAATGCTGTATTAACACAAGCAATCAGGCACTCTGTGATCAAAGAACAAGTTAACAAGATTATGACTCTTACCAGACTCTTATTGCCAGTTTTCGGTACGTGACACATATTTTGGTTGGTACCTAAGAATTATTGAGATGTAATACCCAGCCCTGCCGCCAACAACTTTAAATGGATACCTAACCAGACATATATAAATGTGTTAACAGAATTCATGCAACAACTTGGGCTCAATCCCAATACACCCTTTGGCCCGACCACTTAGCCCTTAGCCCTCGGTTTTACTTATATCTAGGGGTAGGGTGTCCCAATTCTTGTTGGGATATAGGGGTCGGGCGAATTGAAAGGCTGCATGGCCCTCCAAACCTGAGTTTTTTCAGAGGCACACTTCAACCCAAATCATCAGCAAGATGGCTGTACAAGTAACAACAAATGTATTTCCCTCTTCTTCTTCATCTTAATAAAGATTTAATAATTATGATAACCGTCCTATTATCTGAACTTAATCTAATTTCCGTGTATTATGATCTTTTTCTTTCTAACAAGCATAATGAAAAAAATAATGTCTTAGAATCTAACTAGCTAGCTAGTTAATGTTACCTTGTTGTTGCTGATTACGTGACAGTCCAGCATTTTGACATATTTGCGTGTTGCATTCCACCCCTTTGATTGCATAAGATGCTTGAAATTTAAAGTCTAGCAGCACCTAACATCAGTGCAGACTGGCAGGGTAGGAGCACCACCAATTGTTAACGTTAGCCTACATATTATCACTAGTGGCCAGGTAATGAAACAGTGTTTTTTTTGTTGGATAGATTGATAGCGTGAAACTTAAAATGTAAAAGAATCGTGAGCGTCCATGCTTTTCTTTTGTCATCAGATAAATCGCAAATGTCATTGCGATAGTTGCATCTGGTTACGTAAACACCATTGATGGCTACTGATGATGTATCGGGGTCCTGAAGGGTTGTCCCATTTCATAGGGGAAGATTTCAATCACTACCCCTTGATACTGTGTTCTGAGGGGCAAAAGGGCCTTCAAAAACGAGGAGTAGGGGTGAAAATAAGAAATGGGATTGGGCCTTAGACTCATTTGTGTTCAAGTGTTTCTGCGGCTGAGAAAAGCTGAATTTATGGTAAGACGTCTAGACCATATCAACTATAAAGTTTCAGTAATCCTATTTCAATTCTCTAATTAATGTATAGTAATCATATAGTTATTATAGAAATCTGTGTTCATGCTTTCCCACCAAAAAAACAGCAAAGTCAGCCACCCTAGTCTCGGAGCAGGTCTAAAGCCAAGTTGCATAACACAGACCTTTTCAAACCAATCAAAAATTCAATGTGAGAAGAGTTTCAGAGACCTGAGTTAGAATTAAACACACTATTAACAGCACAGACCTTATTGTTTGAGGTCTTTATAAATAGTGGGAAAACATAATTGGTTTATTATCTGTGATCCTGGCTTTATACTGTGGGCTGCTTTAATTGTTTTCAGCCTCTTGAGAGCAAGAGTACTTTAATGTATTTTATAGTCCAGGCGCCCAGAGTGAAATCTGTTTTTCATTTCAGTTAAAAAAAAAAAAAAAAAAAAAAAAAAACCTTCACAATGCTACCCATGTTTAGAAATTCGGAATAAATACCCTTTTTTATTTGTATTTAATTTGTAGTTTAATTGTAACTTAAGGATTAACATGTGTTCCATAGTTACTTTAATTGTTTTTATTTATAATTCACATGCACAGTGTTCAGATGAGAATAAGTTGTGTGAAATGAGCCGTGGAAAACGTTTCAGGTCTGACCTGGCTGTCTGGCCAGCTGAGGCACACTCCAGGCTTGCAGGTCTGGGCTGCTGAACTTGAACTCTGCTTCCACAAATCATGTAGCTGTGGCACAGCCACGTGCCCAACCCCCTCACCTCTCACCACACAGTCTCTCCGTCTCTCTCACATACACACTGAAGCTAGAGAGGCTGAAATTCCCCCGAAGGCAAAGACATAAAATCCCTGAGTGTCCGTGTCTCGTCACCCTGAACAAGGCTGTGATTGTGTATTTCCTAAACTTAACCTCTGACCCTTCGAAGCCATCTGTCTCCAATAGTCTGCCACGCTGCTTCCTTTAAATAACCCACCCCTCGAACCCTGACGTGGCTCATTCCTTGAAAGACTTTGCTTTCTACAGGTACAGAAAGATTGGACCTTAAAGCTGCACTAATTAATATTCTTACATTTAAGATATACTATGCAGGTTTTCTTAAATAACAAGGCAGGCAGCTGTTTCTCAACAATAAAAGGTCTGATAAATACAACCTGCCCAGCACCAAACAGCACATAGACAAAGTTACTGACTAGCTGATGAACATAAAGGAGTATTTAGCAGCTTAAGAGCCAGATATTTTTCTCAGGAGTTGGTGGAGACCAAAAACAGAACTAAAAGAGAGCGACTATTGAACTTAGATTTATCCAGTTAACAGAACAACAGTAGCAAATAAAAGCACATGTTGCTTTAGCCACCAAGTGGTTAGTTTCCACCAAGCACTTTCGGTATAGTGCCCTTAGAGTCAATGTAACCCATACGGACATGTACCTAAACCATAGATCTGTTTTGCGTTTCCCCTGCAGATGGTATTTGAAAATGTAGGTGGGGTTGTTATCAGATGGTAATGACTGCATCTCTGCTCCATCCAGAGTCGCTTTATTTCCTATTTACCGACAAAGCAGAGAAACGCCCCAGTGTCTACTGCACTGGGTTGCATACAGACATTTTCAGAACAAAAAAGTTGCAATCGCTTGGATATTGAAAAAGAGCAGGTTTGTGCATCAAGCCCTTGTCAAGCAAAAGTTACATTTCTGTCTTGACCAATAAATGGACCGCAGTGTTTCTAGCTCCACCTTTTAGCATCTGATCAGTGTGCTGGGTACCTCAACAGAGGGGTGACGAAAAATGGTAGAGCGGTTTAATTAGTACCAAATGCAAATTTTGAAAATAGAAAGACATAAATAAATGTTGTAATGTGTAGCAAACTGAACCAAACCGAGCAGCAACCTCTAGGGCTGAAAAATGAAGTGCCAAAAACTGCAGTTCCTTGAATGACCACTTAAGGCTGGCTCCAGAAGCCAGTCAATCCCCCCTAGACCCCCATGTTAAAATGTGGTCACCTCTGGCCCCAAAAAACCAAGATGGTGACGGCTGAACAGCCAAACTCGATGCTTCAAAACAGGAGTCCACAAACCAATGGGGGTGACATCATGGTAGCTATGTCTATTACTTTATACAGTCTGTGAAGTGAACTGAACTGAACTGCTTGTAAAAACGAGGCTTTTGTGTCTGCTGGATGTGAAAATAGGCAATAAGTTCAACATAACATCTGTATAAAAGGTGATGATATGTTTGATGTTAGGGTTTTGTAATCTGGCTGCAGGGATCTGCTCTCATTCAGCCAAAAGAACATTAGTAAGGTCCAACACTGATGTTGGGCGATGAGACCTCGCTCACAGTCCAGTTCATCCCAAAGCCATTGGATGAGGTTGAGCTCAGGGCTCTGGGAAGGCTAATCAAATTATTCCACACCAAGCTGGGAAAACCTTTTCTGTATCTGAAACTGGCTTGGTGCACTGGGACATTATTCTCTTGAAACAGAAAAGGAGTCTTCCCCAAACGTTTGCCTCAAAGTCCAAAGTATTCTGTTTGAATTCCAGCTTTCTTTTTGTTTGTACTGAGTTTTAAGTATTTCTAAGTGGTCTACCCCTGTGCTTCACAGTCTTTGGAGGTGCAAGAATAGCAGGAACTAATTTAAACAAAAGACTTAAACAGGTTAAAGTAGAATCATTGATAGTGCAGCCTCTTGAAAGGTGCGTCTATCTCCGCAACATCGTCACATGGATGCTCTTAGCCTCAGACCAAAGGACACAAAAGTATTTGGGCAGTGTTATCTGCATACTTTTGGACATATTTGTGCGTGTATTAATTTCCTGTGTCTGTCACCCAAACTGCATACAGGAGAAAGACTTGCAAATCATAGAATTCACTCCTTGAACCATTTCTGTCTCTACTGAATAATCATAGATTCCTCCTCCTCTTGTCATAGTTGTTTCAGATGAGGCAGAGCAGCGTTTGGCCTGAAGTGCCATGAAGGTGTGTCTGGGATGGAGGGAGGGACAGTTTTCCATCCCGAGTATTTCCTTCCATTATTTTCATTTGGTGATAACAGAAACCATGGTGATGCCCTGCTCATGGGCGGATGGTTGTATTTATCAGCACAGACACTTCTGTATGAAACCCTTTTAGCCAGGGAGTGTCTCATGTTATATTTAGCAAATGGGTTTCCACTCTCAGATTGCTCTTTGCTTTGATGTCTACTTAACATTTTCAAATGCTGAATCGGTCGATGAACATATTTTGAACTATTGTCTACTAAAAGGTCGCTAGTGCTCAATGTACCCCCTGTTAAGAGATAAAGTATCAACTATGTGGACTAGTTTTTAGTCTCAGGGTTGATTCGAGAAGACCAGGCAGGAATAATTGCATTGCATGTACAGTAAGAGGAATAATCATAGATAGAAATAGGGGAGAAATGGCTGTTTTGATAAAAACAGTTGAAAGTCATTAAACACTTCCGCTCACAACACTTCCTATAGTTAAAACTACATACTAATTTGTGTTACTGGTTTTTATTAGTGTACATGTTTATTCTGTGTGAGGTCTTGTTAATTTCTTCCTTGGAGGTGAGCTATATTTACTTCATTAACACCCTGCCTTCATTT